TTGTTTTGTTTGTTGGAAGACCGTCATTGTTGTCAAATAAAAAGCTGCCAGAGCCCAGATATGGACATCAGTCGTGTTACAAACGGAAATTATGTCCTTTTTTTCACACAGATATGCTGGTAATGCCCTTTTAAATAAGAACGCTGTATCAAACTTCTTATTTTCCTGCAGATATGACGCATAACGTCCCCATATCACAACAGCTGCATGAAGAACACGAAGCTGTCAGAGGCACAAACGCTCCACTGCTCATCCCACAAACACGTCAGCACTTCTTTTAATGCCATTTAGCAACCATGTGGTTTCATTAGGAATCCAACCAAGAAGCTGAGCCGTGACTTCTACGTTTCGCTTAGTTGGAAAACTCACTTAGACAAAAACGTTAAATTTAGGCCTCACTTAGCTTCATCAGGCTAGTGGTTTTTATTTTACAGCTTATTTATATTAAGTATTTTGACGAATGAAAATGTACTTTATAGTCACTTTTTGAGTTTCAACTGTTTGTGACTCTTATTCCTTTTTGAGCTTGTCAGATCTTATTATGATGGAAACAATACATTACAAATTGAAAAGCACAAAAATAAAGAGTCCAAACTAAATGCAAAAAGAGCAAAATAGCAGGTATTATTACTCAGTTTTGATTTTTTGCTGAAAACCCAATGTTTATTCAAACAACTTGTTAAATGTGACCACAATCAGACTTCTGTGTGACCAGTTTACAGCGCCAAAGCGACCTGCACGTGCAGGGGAACAAAGGATCAAAGCCGCACATTGTTTACGGACGCAATAATGGATGGAGTCGTTGAGCAATGGCAGAAGACGTGATTTTCACAAGTTCATAACAACATGAAGGAAGCTAATAAAAAGAAAGCACAACTAATAGTTGGGGCATTTTCTGGAACATTGACTGCAACTTCAGCAAGGAAGTCTTTTTGGATGCAGTCAGAACCAAGAGCGGCGATTCAGAGACACAGATTTTTTCAGAAAGTTCAGGATTTGTATAATTATACATTTCAATTTACGTCCAGATTTACTGCATCTGGTTTCCTCTGGTGAAAAATTATGATGCATGTCTCACATCAGTGACGTAAAACTCAGATAAAATGCAACATGAGCGTTCAGAATGATAAATTCATATGCGATATTAAACAAGATATGGACTGTATTGATTGATTTGGGTCGTATTTGCCTGCCTAATTGATGAAAACGAGAACCTAAGTGAGAGAACCAGAACACAGATCATAAAGATAAAAAAAAAACAAGAAAAAATTGGACAGACTAATCCTACAAAATTGAATTTTCACAAGTCAATTTGCGGTAATTAAATGTTGAACTTAACAGGCTCAAAGTAATTCAGAGTTAAGAGTTTTACAGCCTGGAACTCTGAGTTCTAATTGTGGGGAAAAGCTTAGAAAGGATAATTAATAGTGCCTGCAGTAGGTCAGATGAGGTGGTTTCCTTTCTCTGAATCACTCTGTTTCAGTTCCAATAGCAAGTCACTGCTAATAAAAAATTCAGTACACTGTAAAACAGTTCAAGGTGGTTTAAGTTGAAAATAAAAGTTCACCAACTGCTTTCAAATGCAACTTAAGTCAGCAAGAAAATTGTTTTGTGTTTAACTCAGAAATTAAAGTTCATGAAAGATGTTCAGTAATATTTAATTTCAAGGATTCTATTGGTTGCTTTAAAGTTAAATAAAAAACAAACGTCCATAATATCAGTCCCCACCGTGTAAACTGTGGACTTGCAGAATGCGAGGAATGCCTCCCAAACAAGAAGGCGACCGTAGGAACCCAGTGATGCTTTCAAAGCCAAGAAAGAAACACAGAGCAACTATTGTTCCTGCTGGCACTGGTCCTAGCTGCTGCCTTCCACACTCCCATGTTTTGTAACGGAGGGTTTTGGTTCCATTGTGATAACCTTGGATGTGGAGATCCTAATTATTTACAATTATCACATCAGCACTAATTACTGACATGTCCAAAGAAAAACCTAAAAGGTGAGTTTCGTTGTTGTATGGTGAGCTAAATGGTGAAACACAAAGCTCCGTCTCGAAGCTTCTTAGCACACGCTTCCTGTAATCTATCAGCAGCATTAATATTTTAATGACCTTATTAAAGGCTTGAGAAACGCAGTGTACTTTCACAAGCCTTTATTCAAATGTTTTTTTTGTATTTTTGGTGAAACAAAAAGGACTATAGAATATTTATCCTGTGATCAATCTAAATCTGGCAGTCGACAGAATATCCCCTAAATGTTAAATTCACTGCACAACAAGTCAACACAGAAAACCTCAACCTCACTTTTGGTTCCCAAAAAGCTTGAGCCCAAGAAAATGGAAAGCTCTCATTAGCCATGAATGCAGCTTATATGGCACTTGCTCAAACTTTAACCAGTTATAAAGCAGCTTTGGGTTTGAACATCTAGCAGGTTTTCACTCAATAATAATATCTTTACCTTATGACTTACTGCTGTCACTCGGTTATCTGGACCTGCTGAAACTGCCTCCTAATGTTGACATTAAATTGTGTTGTTTATATTTATGTCATGATGTTAATTGGGTTTAAACCTAATCCTTTACCTGTGCAGGATGTTTGTTTTGGATAGGCTGGTGCTGGAGGTCAAAGGTTCACAGGTGAGTAATAAAACAAATTCACTCATAAAATAGCGACGGTTTGTGTCAAGAGTGAACTTTGTTTTCTACCCATGAAGGCACACATCTGTTATTGATCAATACGAAACTCCTAATGTCATTTTAAAACAGTAAGGCAGTCAAAATAATCCATATTTTAACCAATACTTAAGTTGGCAGATTGTAGATAAAAAGAAAAGGAAATCATTCTACTGGAAGTCACAATAATAAACATGCATAAAACCCCAAAGTCCTGACTGAATATTTTATGTTATTGTCGGTTCCTCCTTTATCATCAAGGCTTTTGTTTAGTCAACCATCAGTGTTTAATGATAATTGCTCAGTTCCTCTTAATTTCTCTAAAATACCACAACTGTGGACTGAATCTTAATTTCCAGAACATCTGAACCCAGCACTTTGTACCTAATTGAGTTTCAATGAGAGTGTTTTCAGTATTTTTGATTCCCACATTAAGGAGCGTTTAACTTCACACACTCATGAAGGCCGATGAGCTGAGAGTCCGACCACAACAAAGGCGGATCCTTCAGTTTTTCTGCAATGTGGTCTCTCGGCTGCACAATAGTTTTTGTCAAACTCTGAATTGAGAAACCAAATATGTACAAACAGCTTCTGTCAGAGTGTGAACGACGACTTCCTGTGCCAATCTTCTCCATGTGGAAGGAAATCAACTTTTCCTGTTTGTGCAGTTTCACACTGAAATCTACCACAGACACATGCGACACACATCCAACATCTAAGCCAAGCAGCAGGAGATAAAGCTGGGATGATGACTGAGGGTTTCTCAGAAGCATCAGGGGGTAAAGTCGATGTTTGGACTGCACTGGGTGGCTGGTGCCAAATCATTTCCTGAAATTGATCACATACAAAGCTCCATTTTGTGTTAGTTAGCTTTTACATAACCTGAAATATAAAATATATAAACCTTTATTCTTCAAGGAAATAAATCAATTTCAAATATTAATCTCTTTTAAAGGATATTCTAGTTATAGAGTTGCATTTATTTACATTAAATGAATAAAACGCTGGTATGAACCAAACTTGCACATATGGAAACAAACATAAATACAAATCCAACTTCAACCAAAAACCTTAGTTTGGAGCAGTTCTGGTGTAAATATCTCTTTTAAATCCATATCTCTAAGCAGTGGTTGGTTTTTAAGTGCTGATTTCGCCGTGATTTATTAAAATTGATACTGTACCAATTTACTTTGTTCAAAGGAAGGCTCATTAACGTCTTATGCATGAATAAGTGTGATCCTTTTTTGTCCTGGTTATCTTTAGTGTTAATAATGTGAAATTAATAAATTATCTGCCAAGTGTTTTAAGTAGCTGTAATAAATTTTCCAATTTGTTGCATGAAAACTTTGCATTTCAGTGAAAATTGCTGCCATGTTAGCATTTCCACACACCTGGCAGAACCATTTATAGCATTTTATTTTGACCTACAGCGAACGTTCAACTGAAAGTCCGCTGGACTTCTGCTGGTGTTTTATTTTGACGTCCAGAAAACGTCATCGCGCACGTTCGGAACGACGTTCACGTAATCTGAACATTCTAGCATGCTAGCTGAGTCCAGCCAGCGTCAGGTTTTGGTTTTGGTCAGAAAGCACACAAGACATTAATAGATTTTAAGCTACTAAATCATTTTTAAGTGTTATAAAAATTAATCTACCCGTTTCCGACTGACAAAATACAGTTGATGGGTGTTGCTGGGCAACCGGAACCATTTCAAAATCTGTCCAAATCTGGGTATGAAACAACATATTTACAGAAGTGTATCTTGGAACCAAACACTCAGAAATGTTCCCTAAAAAAGTAGCTAAGCTGTGCGGATGTTAGAGAAAGTCATAATGTGATTTATAAACAGTTATTTTTACGTTAAAATGAGTCTCGTTTCACTCCGCCGCTCTCGTGGGTTAACTTGCCCTTCTCATTGTCTGATAGGCGGGCAACCAGAAGAGGTGGGTGGGTCAGATTTGCCCTGCGTAATGTCTTGAAGGCATGACAAGAGGTTAAACTGGAACAGATTGGTTTTTCTACACAAGCTGTGAAGCTGTGTTATGTGTTTTATTCAATTGCAAATAAATAAGTGTTAAGGAGAAGTATTTAGCAAAACCTGTTCATTAGACTATGGTTAATTATTTAAGTTAAGGCTTGCAGATTATTTTTTATTATGCCCAGAGTGAAAGGAAAGTCAAGATTTAAGTGGTTAAGTCCTTAAACATTACAATTTAGTAAATTGTTAATGACGAGTAAAGTCTGAGTCTGCTGTAATGTCATCATAGTAATAAAACTCTTTAGGTAGCAGCAGTAAGGCGCCTGCCTCCATCTCTGGGAATAAACTCACCAGTTCTCCTTGAATCCATCAAACAAAGAGAAAATTCTCCAGACAGTAAGTGGTCCCGTGTTAAAACAGACTCAGAAAACAGCATGTGTTTCCTTTCGCGCTGACAGTCATTGATAATCTCAAGAGTTCGTCCACCTCGTTCTTTCCATTCTCTTTCCAACTTCACCAAAAGGAAGAAAGGGTTATGCTTGCCACTGCCGGTTCTCGCAGGATGTTTGGTAAAATAAAACAGTTCTCTAGATTCTCACGTAGCTGAGACAAGGCCTGCACTTTCTTCAGAGCAGTTTATGAAAGTGCAGAGTGCAGAACAGAACAGGAATGTTTTTAGAGACTAAACGAAAACGTACACACGCATGTGCAGAAAACAGGAGCATACACACAGTCAGAGTAAGAAAAATGCATTTTTAAAAACAAATATAGGAGTTACTTTGCTTTGAGGGTGAAATTTTTAAGAGTGAAAGTGAAAAAATGACTTGGCTTTTTAAAAGTGTACAGTATTAATAAAACTTGGGGGAAAAAACAGACAGTATTTCATAATTTCTTTTAGATCCATAGAAAAACTTTTGAATGAGAAAAACTTGTGTAATGCTGGGTTTGGATGAAAGGAGGGTTTACCTGTTTTGGCACACAATAGTTCCCTTTTCAATGCCCAGATGGTATCGTTATAAAAATGAGAGTCCTTTAAGTATTTCCCAGATCTGAACAAGCCTGGAAAAGTATTTCATATTTTCAGATTTTATTCCTCCTCATTTGTTTATCCATTCATCTTTCCCCATTTATCTATCCATTAGGTCTTCTGCTTCTCCAATCTGCATCTCATCTGTGTAAGCCTGACCTTGACAGAAATGTATTCTTTAAATTTATGGAGAATTTATATGGTAAAACTGTAAATTTGAGTCTGAAGCATGTGGTATTTGGTCAGGAATAATGTGTGAGAACTCAGTCGATATCTTTTTCTAAGATAATAAAAATAATTTGTTAACACTTTATTTGACAGGTTGTGCATAAGACTGACATGGGACTGTCATCAGCACGACATATCGCCTGTCATGAACTGTTGTCATGGTAAATAATTAAACTTTTAATTCCATTAAAACTCAATCAAAAGTGTCAACTTTGTATTAAGTGTCATTATTTACCGAACGACAGTCATAAGTATTCATGAAGACTCTTTTATGTTCATAACAGGTGTTATATTATGTTTATGACAGTATTACGTCAGCCTTAAGACACCCCTTCAACTAAAGTGTTACTAATTAAAAATGTTTACTTTTAATGAAGTTTAGTTATATTTAGCCAGGTAAATTTTCATCCATCCACCCATCATGCATCAGAAACCTTCTAATGCTCAAATTACTGACCGTAATCTTCACTTTGCTCATTACTTTGACCAATCAAAGCGAGCCATTTAAAGAACGGCGAATGCTTTCAAAAGGCAACATTTCCAGACTTGTGTGTGACTTTTCTCACACGGTTTGCATAAACACACAGTCTTATCTTCTGCCTGTGTTGCTTGGCATTGACCTCATCAGCTCCCTTGGCCCGCTGCTGCAGTCTGAGAGGCTCAGGCCACCCACCGCCGCCGCTGCGAACAAGCCCAGCTCTGTAAGAGGCTGGTAGCAGCGTGGCGTTTTCCTGCTCTGGGCTCCACGTAGGAACGCAAGCGCCAATTATCTCAGCATGGGGAAATAGACACGTCTGTGTACAGGAAGCAAAGACTTTACTGTTGCAGAAAGTTATGCCATAAAACGATTCAGATAGGCATACATGAATTCACAACAAAAATGAACTAATTATGATTTTTTTATGGTGTGGTATCGTAAAAGAACAGGGAGGTAAGTAAAAACTAAATGTTTTCAGTTTGTGCAATGATGTTTGATGGATGTGGCTAATGATCAAGCATGATTGGATTGGTCCATCTTGTTTTATGGGAGAAGATATGTGAAAAAGATATCTACAGTTCACTTAATGTTTACTCGTAAAATGCAAAAAGATAAAAATAAAGTAAAATGAGTAACTAGTTTGGTCTTATTGCCTCCATGTTATTAGTTAGGCAACCATTTTAAAGTAACTTAAAAAATGTTCATGTGAAAAAGCCAGACAGTATTTGGAAATATACTTTTTCAGATAAAATAGGCAAGAAATAAAAAAATTAATGAAAATAAATTGCATACATCCGTTTTGGCATGGCGAAGATTTGGGCTTCTCATGTTCTTATCCAGTAAAATCTGATGAAATTATTCTAATTTATTTAAAAGCATGCTTATGGTGCGTTATCCTGAGAAAGCAGACAGCAAAAATACTTCCAACGTTAATCAGGCAGTAAAAGGTCATTAATAAAATTTAAATGTCTGCACAAGGTGTTCAATTCATTCAAAGTTCATCTCTCTCATCGCTGATTATCACTAACCTTTCAGTAATGCATGCCTAAGATGCATAACTGTTGATCAAGTTATTAACTGAAGGAATAATTGTTTCATAATTCTACAGTTAAAATTGCACGTTCTTTTTTTATTTTTATGGAAACACGTCCAAACAATTTCCAGAAGCCAGAGATCCTCTTTTCCAAAAACTGTTCATCTGGTGGATTCCTCCTGCTAAAAAAAACAGCCTCAGGTAAGATGACTCACGGCTTGTGTGCCAGACGAAGATGGCGTGGATTATAGGCAGCTGCTGAGAGGAAGTGGACCGAGCGTCTGATGTGAAATGAGCAAAGACGACACAACAGACATATGAATGAATCGTATTTCCTGAAGTTTCAGGCTTGAAATGTGTTGCGAATGAAGTATGAGGGATTCACAGTACAGTTATTTGATGCTTTTATGTCTCAAAACAACACTGGTTCATAAGTTGAGTTCAGGAACTGCTTAAAGGCCGAGTGATTCATAGGTCCAAGTCACACAAACAGGCAAAATGTGTCACGTACAAGGTGGAAAATAATAATAAACAAGGCACAACTTTGTAGATATTAAAAAAAATCTTAGAAATGGTTCTGCAGAAATGGCTTTTTCACCATCTGTGCTAAAGAGCACAACAATGATGAAGCCGTTTTTATGAGTTGAATATTAATTTTACTTCAAATGGAAGCTGAAGAAGTTGATGAGTGAGAGAAAAGTTGTGAGCAGAGGCCAAGAAAACTGGAGTCACAGTTGTTTTTGGAAATATTTAGCATTGCACCGCAGAATACTGCAATGTTTGTTTGTTTTTTGTGATCGTTCGCAGCACCTTTTTCAAGAAGTGTCGGTTAAAGTTGAGATTTCTGTTTTTGCCATAACATGGATGACAAAAAAGTTGAAATTGCTGCACATAGCTTTCCCAAAATGACAGGATTTTTAAAGTGCAAATAACATTTTCAGGTAAGTTACAGAAATAAAATTTAAATGAAATCACGTCCTGAAGAGTTGTCAAAGTGAAAAAGAAGAGTTAACATGAAAAGTGTGCACAGGATAAGCAAATCCTGCAGAAAATCTGCAAAAAAAGAAAGAACAAGGCTAATTTTACTGTGTCACGTTTTACCAAGAGACTTCAAGAAACAGGAAGTTAAATTCGACGGGGCTGGGGGTCTAAAGAGATTGGTCAAAATTCAGAAGAGTTGCTTAATTATGAAAGAAAGAAAAGTGACAAATCTGAGGAGAAGTTGTATCAAATAAATGCGATGTACATTCTGATATCAGCATTTTTTTCGTTTTGTCCAAACGAATGGTGATAAAATCGCAAAGTGTGCCGAGTTTCATCTCAAAGTAAAAAGTTTGAGTCATGCAAACAGAAGACAGCTGAGTTAGCAATCACTGCAGCCAGATGTGGAGGCCTTTTGCTTTGGACTGGTTCAATATGTGCAACTTAAACTAAATTGAGAAAATGACACATTAGTGATTTTCGTCCACTTCATTAAAATTGGAAAAGCTTGAATCTGAACTTGCATCCAAGAATTTGTTTTGATGATCTTCTGGAATTTGTGGCGTATTCACAACAATAGCTTGCTAACAAACAAATCTATTTTTATTAAACCCGAGTCCATGATTAAACACATTTCTCTGCTTAATCTAGATTTCCAACCCTATTATTAGCAATTTCAGAGTTATACAAGGAATTTGTTCTCAACACAATCACGCCCCATGCTCCAAAACTTTGGTTCAAAGTCTTAAGAAAAGTGCCCGATTAAAGCTCTGTGAATGGTTCAGAGTGAGGAAATGGAGTGTGCTACAAACCATCAAATTAGAAGCAAATGGGCCAGAACTATATTAGGGGAAATCACATCAAAGCTGTCCAACTTTTAATGGATTGGGAAGTGGATTAAAAAATAGAAAAAAAGGAATTAGCAAATTTTCCAGGAATCTGTTTCAGTTTGGAAAAAGTTATGTAACATGTACACTTCTCTCTTTTTCCTCCTTATGGTTAAACGGTTCCCCAGTGGTCCACAGCGTCCGCTCAGACAAAGAAAGTGAACAAAAGCTTGTGATTTGAGGCCAAAGTGAGTGAAATCTGCTTATTGGAGTTCTTTTTTGTGTTGGTTTCTAGGCTCAGCAGGGAGTCACGTTTATTACCGCTTCATCACAGAGAGCAGGCAGCGAGAAAAACAGCTGATTAGGACAGATGCGAACCTTTCAACAGCTAATCCACAGAAGAAGTCATGTCAGTCAAAGAGCATGAGTATTTTCACTGAGACATAAATCTAAATCAATGAGTCAGGGTGGATTTAAGAACAAATCTAAATAGTTTTAAGCATGCCATTTGAAGAGCAATCAGAAGATTGTATTTTGCTTTTCCATAAAATCATCAGTAATAATAAAAAATATTGATTGTGCTTGGATCATAATGGCCCACATGTGAAATCCATGAGATGAGACGCAATAAAAAGATCATTACGCAACAACATTTTAGCAAGGTTAAGAGAATTTCTATCCATTTTCACCCACAGTCTCAGTCTTACGTCCTTGGGAACAGTTTTTGTCTGACACGGCTTCAGTGATGTAAAATACCTCCACTAATGAAAATAAGATGTTAATCTCGTTAAAATGGCAGGAGCAGGTTGAACTGAAAAGCTTTAGCCAACTTAAGCCAGCGACTCTTGTTCTCCTTTATCCCAAAAGTCCAACAAATGTCCACTTAGGTGCACAGCTTTATTATCTTGACATGTAGCAGTTTTACTAAGAACAGGATGATCTCTGTTTTCAACAGCAACAGTTCCTCTCTCTCTGCAAAACAACAGGCCTGGAGGATTAAACCACATCCTTCCGATTTATTAAACTTACAAGCAAAGGAATGTGAAGC